TTAGGCCAGGCCGACCTGGTGAAATAGTAAGGTCTTTAAGGCGCGGCGGAAGGTGTGCAGATCCGGGATCCTCCGTATCTCTGGGGGAGCTCGTTCCAGATAGTAGGTGCCCCCACAGAGAAGGCTCTCCCCCTGGGGGCCGCCAGTCGGCATTGTTTGGCTGACGGCACCCGGAGGAGCCCCTCTCTATGGGAGCGTACCGGCCGGTGGGAGGCTATTGGTGGTAGTAGGCGGTCCCGCAAGTACCCAGGTCCTAAGCCATGGAGCGCTGTAAAGGTGATAACCAGAACCTTGAAGCGCACCTGGAAGACCATATAGTATGTAAAGTACATTTGTTGATTGCTATCTTACTTCAGATAGGTATGTTAAACTGCATTAATTTTATTTGAAATATTAGCTCTATGAAATCAAATGTAAAGTGATTACTTGTAGTTGTAGGTATGGATCTGCATTTTTGAACTTGTTCCTAAAACTAGTCTTCAGGGTTACCTTCATTATCAACTTCCCATGCTAAGGCTGTACTAATAATTTGAATGGAAGATACTACAGAGGACAGAGTTCAATAATTTAGGGTCCACAAAACATTTGTGGAGAAAATTTACTACAGAATAACCCAGTTTCTATACTTAACATGGGTAGTTCTGAAATCTTAGAAGTAAGATATTGAAGGAAGAACTAGGACTATTTACTGTAGCACTGAGACTATGCATAACAGCTATTGATAGAGTGCTTATGTGGCATCAAGGCTGTGTCAATTTTTAGCTATTGTATAGATAGAATGTCTCCAGAATGGCTTATCCCAAACACACTCTTTAAAGTTTTCCAACTGAAAACTCACTGTTGCTATAATTGAGTCTGTGCTTTTGCGCACTCTTTCCTTTCCTTTCAGTTTCCTTAAATTTAGTCTAACATGTTTAAAATGTAACAGTGAGTCAGGTTATTTGTGCTTCAAATGAGATTTCTGGATTGATTTATTCTATAATGGATTTATTAATTATCTTGGGTTGTTCTCTAACACCAAACTCAAAAATGTAAATACACTTTCTATTCTGCTTCTTCAAAATTCAACATTGACTTCCATAGTGTCATAAGGAAAAACATTGCTTACACAAATCTGATATTTGTAGGAATACATGTTTTGTAGCATCCAAATATCTTTTCCAAGGACTTAATTGCTGCCCTACCAAGTGCTAAGCTGTTGTATATTTCTTGACTTCTGGTTCCTTTAATATTGATACTTGATATTAAAAGGCAAAAGCTAATTACCATTGCAATATCTTCATCTTCCAATGTTGGCTATTGTACCTCTTGCCATTAGTTTGGTCTTTTTCATGGATAATCCCAGATCTATTTTTCTTCACTGTGCTTATTTGTATTTTCAGTTAACAGAGTAGTATTGGGAGCATAGCATGGGTTATTGATGCTTCTGCCTCCATTTTAAAAACCTTGTTCATCTTGTTCCAATCCAAACTCCCTTAATATATTTTCAGCGTATAAACTGACTAAATATGGAGATATTATAAAGTGTTGTCTTATTCTTTTGCTGGCCCAGAGCCAATTTGTTTATCATGTTCTGTCATGGTTCTAATACTGCTCCTTGACTCTTCTAACATCTCTCTGAAAATCTTCATTTTTTTTTACTTGAGATTTTTGACCTTTGGCTTTTCTTTTCTTGTCTTCTACCCAATTTCCATGGTTTGTTCTAATAATTAAAATTCTGTTTATATATTCTGTTTCTTGATCTGGGAGTCTATTTTGGCATTTCTTCTTAACAACTTCTTAAGTTCGTTCTCTAGTTCTACTGGTTCCTATCAGTCAGTTCAGAACTTCAAATCAATTTCTAATATTTAACTTGAAAACGGTGGGTATATGTTCAATATTATATCATGAAAAGTGATTGGATTTTTCTATTGCTTTAGATTGAGTTGGAACTTGCACATGACCAATTCATGACCAGTCTGACCTTGGCTACATGTTCTTACCATAACTAAACTCTTCCACCCAATTTGTATCAATTATATAGTATACTTTGTTTCTGTATACTCCAACTTGTGATGTTCATGCATTCTGATGGAATTCTGATTGTGTGGATACCGTTAAGAAATTGTTGGATATTCTTGTTCTGCTTATCTACTTATCACTAACTAGATAATCCAAAGCCTTTAATCTTGTTGCATATTAAATATCATGAATTCTCTAAAAAATCCTCTATCTCAGCAGCATGTTAACTGAAGGGCCCATCACTCAATGCTATGGCAACAAATACTTTTATTTTATTTATACATGTGCTTTATTACCACTTTCTCTCACATAATATGACATGATGTCTTTGCTGATATTATTAAAGTGATCACTGATCCTTCAATTCCAGCTCTTCCTGTATCACTACTTACTTTAGTTGGACAGCTGGGACAACCTTCAAACCTGTGATGAGTTTGTACTTCTGGCATGCATCGGGGCATGACATTTGGAGCATATTATCCCAAGACAATATAACAGGATTTAAGTGGAACAAAGGCTGTAGATATAGTAATGTATAAATAAAACTACTGTCTTTTTGCTGCACCACAAATTAGAATTTAAGGAAAACTCAACTGAAATATACAAAGGAGGCCTTTTTGGAACCGAGAGTGTATCCTTAGCATACACTATCACAAAAATCTATGGCTACTCTTAAATGACCCATGATGCTATTCCCAGAAAGCCAGATTAGCCTTGTAAGGATAACAGTAATTTTTAATAGTTTCGGATATATTTCTTGGACCATATGACTTCTGTGTAACAGCAGGCCTATTATTTTCTCTGCTCATATAAATTCTACCTCCACATATCTTCAGCTGCTGTTTCCTTTTGTCTATAACCAAGCTTTGAAGAAAGAAAAATCAGACTGGGAGCCTGCTTGACTTCATTTACTTTTATTTTCCCCTATCTGTAGATAGTGGGTCACCTCAGCAGACTACTGGCACCAGCTGAAATTACCATTTTTATTGGATTTTATAAAAACAAAAACAGAAGTCCCAAAACAAAACCCCAAACCAAATAGTTATCATGGTGTCATTTATGAATAAACAAGGAAATGTATGCTAGTATGCCATGATGACAAAGGGATTCTGTATATTGGCTCAGGATACCAAAAACAAAAATATATTCTATATTCTGGTCTAGATTTATTATTCCCTACATGTGAATATAATTAATTGGGGTTTGCATATTTTTTTTAAAACATTCACATAGTTTCCTATACTGTTGTTAATTTAATGGAAAACATGCTTCTTTGATTGTTTATGAGGTCAATCATGCAATAATTGATGCAATAACTCTTTATTTAATTTACCTTTTTGTTACATTCCTTTTCTTTGGCTTTATATTTTATTATTTCCTAAGATGAACACTACTTGGTAAAAGGAAATTAGTACTAGAAATCTAGTATTAATCTTATTTGCAATGTTTATAAATATCCTGGCTTGTGTAACTCTGAAAAGCTCTATGTTGCAATGATCACCATGCAATCCATTGGGAAAAAGCAAGGGAACACATTTTTAAAAATGTGTATTGCAGCATTATGACACCAACTTTGCCCTGTTTGTATGTAAATTACATACTTACATGAATTTGTATGAATTTATCATGGTAGCATCAGAATATATTTTGTAATTTTGCTGAAATTTGTTCTGTTTGCTGTGGATGCCTCTGAACTTCACTATAATGTAACATTGTGACTATTGTGTAACATCATAATATCATAAACTATTTTGCAGCAATTCATTCAGCCATGCATTCCAGTGCTGGTCAGGATAGAAATTTCTGATTTCAACTTTCTGCCACTTTGAACAGTTGACATGGCCTATTCAAAGTATGTAAGTTTAGTGTTCCTCTTCTGATAGTCATACATCTTAGCATGCCAGGGATTGCATTTGCTATTATATTCCCCTTCCACATGTTTCATGACCAATCAGGACCAAAACAAAATTTTCTCAAACATATCCATCTTCTGATAATGCAGCCTTAAGTGGGTTATGCCATTGATTCAATCACTTATAGTCACAAATTTGCTCAGCACTTGACAACAGTGGCTGCCCATCGCTTCTGGACACTCCCTCCACGTGCACCAGATTATAATTGTGACTGCTTGTATATTGAGTTCATCCATAGATACATCTGGGACTGCTACACATCTAACTGGTCACATGTGTATTAATGTAACATAAAACTAAAAAGGAATATATTCCAATATATTGTAGCATCAGGATAGTGTATATCAGGCAATCCTCTGCCCCATCTAATGGGATATTGTTTAAAATTGTCTCACCACCAACTTCTGTATTCTGAGAAGAATCTTTCACTAAGAAGAATCTTTCACAACATCTCTGGGAGATGTTGGAAAGGTCAGCAGGAATTGATTATTGCTTTCATGGAAGCAAACTCTAGAAACAACTGCAGTGGCCATGGATGCTGTGTCCCAACCTCTTTGAAGCCACTCTGTATGGGATATGATGTATGGTCCTTTCCAGACCTACTATTTTGGTCTACTATACCCAGTTGATTACCTTTGATTTTGTTCTATTCTCTTACCAAGTGTGGAAAGCCTCTAGCCCCTCATTTATGCCATATAGTCAAACATATCAGTGTTTTGAAGTTTACATTGGAATTTCTTCTGGACTTTGGCTTTGTCCCAAAGCCTAGGAGAATAATGGTTTGGTTTTTCCACTATATAATTCCACAGCAGCACTTTGCTGGGATTATCACTGCACTAGCCATTGCCTCACATGGGACTTGAATATGAACATTGGATCATGCAGCTATAGTGTAACTGAATCATAGGGACAAATGAGGTGGAAATATATGAAGAAAATCAGAGTGCAGAAAAGTCTGGTTCACTAATGGTAGTTTTCATAAATGATCAACCAGAAAACTGTCCAGTACATTGGCAGATAAAAAACACCATAGTTGCTGACTTCTAGGAATTACACAATGGAATTGTGTTCAATTGACACTTATAGTTCTTCCCACACTTTAATTTTATTGGTTTGTACTTCCCCAAAGAGGCTTAAAGCTATAAAAGCATTGTAACTCCAAATATAAGTTCTTAGGTATAAAGTCTCACACAAATAAACTGCCACAGCTAAAAATGGAAAAAAGCATGCATAACAGATTATTGGTCACAGCTTACCCAAAGTACCTTTAAATGCTTAGCTAGAGTTTATCTAGACTTATGATGACCAGTAGCCTTTTGCCACAAGTTTTGGGAATTAAATTGTCATCCCTTGACAATTTAGAATATGATGGCAGAAAATGCATTTGATGAACAAGGAGTTACAGTTGCTGGGCCAGTTACCACAACAGTTAAAAACACCAGAATGGTCTGATTCTCAAGTGGGCAAATGGTGAATAAGTGGATGACTCTGTAGCTGAAATGCAGATGAAAAGGGAGTTTCCTAAAACTAGGTTATATCTTCAGTTGGCCCAGTGTGCTGCACGGTGACTGAAAGCCCAATCTTGCTATGTCAAAAGGCACAATGAGCCACTAGACTAGGATTTCTTAGAAATGGGCAAACCACAGGGTGCAGGTGGAGTCATGCAGTCACATCATGCAGGAACAGGTACGGTTATGATGTTGCACTGTAGTGATAGTGGCTAGGTGGATATGTCCTTGATCTGAAAAGAAAAAAAAATGAACACAACTGAGATGTGAAAAAGCAGCTTAATTTAAATCCTACACTTTTTTTCATGAAACTTACTTGAATTTTCTTCTTTCAATGATTATTCCACATGCGCCTATTATTTTAGGTCACCTGTCACTGCCTCCTTCCTCATGCATTCTTCTCCCTCAATCATTGTTCGATAATCTTCCCATCCCGGTTTCTTAGACTACATACATAGCAAATCGTGCGTTTTAGTTTCAGTTGCGCGGCTGCCTGCGCAGTGACCCATTTTCCCAGGCTCGCTCGCTTGTTCCCTCTCTGCTTCTCAATAGCTCTCAAACGGGCGCTGTTTCAGGCCACTGGGCACTTGCTTCGTTCCCAACCTGTCAAGTTAATAATGAATGAATAAATAAATGGGGGAGGAAAAGCCAGCCACTTTCAGGATTACCTTTGCACAGCGTCTGTACTATTTCCGATCTTCCCCACCTTTTTATTCTTTTGTCTGTTCTTCCATTGGCTTGTAAGTAATGTCTAGTTGTAATTTTAATTGGCTTAAGTACTTGCCAGTCCGGAGTAGAGGCAGAGAAGCTGGTAACTCTCAGCAATAAGTCTCCTTCAAACATTTAAGATCCTCCTCCTCCTCCTCTTGCTCCTCGTTTTATTCTTATTCTTTTATTCTTATTCTGATTGCTTTCCTTTAACAGGCAGAATGTACAGAGTGTGTCCTTTTTATTGGATAGGTGCTACTGTCTGTCACGTACTAAGCATGAAAAGGGGCGGTTGTCAAGGAGAGCATGGCTATGCGAACGGGGGCGGGCGGAGAGGGGGAAATATATCAAAATCCCTGGGAGAGGCGTGGTCTTGGCAATCTAGAGGTGTGGCTATTCAGAAAGGAAAGCGTGGTTTGGAAGGGGGTGGCGACTTGGAAGAGAAAGGAGGGGGGAGGGGGAGGGAGAGAGAGAGAGGAGGAGGAGGAGGTGCGCGCGCTGAGATTGCCCTTGTGTCTCGAGCTGGAAAAGCGGCTTGGGTAGCGGAGCACTCTCCCTGCGAGCCGAGGTGAGAGAGAGCGAGCGAGCGCGTGCGAAGCTGTAAGGAAGACCAGGGCAATTGCCGCCACCCCATCTCGTTAGTCGGATTGACCGGCGAAGAGGAAAAAGCAGCTCTTGTCACATTGCAAGGAACGGATAGACGGCTCCGCGAAAGAAAGGAGGTGTGCGTCTCTCTCTCTCTCTCTCTCTCTGTGTGTGTGTGTGGGGGTGCAATTGTGCCCATCCGGGAAAAAAAAAAAAAAAAGGACAGGGCTGGAGGACGAATTGATGGGAAGAGGAAAGCCGACCGACAGCACTTCTTCCCCGCTGCACACCCGCGCAAGCCTGGCTCTCGTGGTTATCCGTTGGATAGGTTGAGGGAGACACTGCGGCGGCGGCGGTTTTTGCCGAGGGAACGACGAGCCCGGTGAGAAGAGGAGGAAGAAGAAGAGGAGGAAGCTGCGGTGGGTAGCAGCAGCAGAAGCAGCAGCAGCCGCAGCCGCCGCGGGATTCTCTTGCTTTCACGTCCAGCCAGCCGGAGGGAAACCTCCAGGATGCGGCTGAAACCGAGCGTCGTCTTGCGCTTATACAGCCTCTGCGGGATCCTTATACAAGGTACCACCCTCGCCCGTCCCCCTCGTTGGCCCCCGCTCTCTTCCAACTTAGGGATATGATGTGCGTCCGAAGGTGGTGGGGATTCGGTAGGGCTGAAGAGGCCACAGCTGCTTCATAAGGATTCCTCCGTTGACCTTATTTCCTCTCCCCCCCTGGAGCTTTGCCCTCAACCTGTTCCTCATTTGTCTTCGTCTCTTGCTTCTCTGCTCTTCCCCTCCACCCCCACGTCTCCCTCTTCCACATGCCTGGCATCTTTAGCCGTGAGGTTCCTTTGCCTTCTCCTGGTTTTCTCTCTCTCTCTTCCTTTTTTCCTCTTTCTTTCATCCCTTCACCCTCCGGGGTTGTCTTCGACCGAAGCCCCACTTGGGTAGCCCTTTCCGTCCTTAAAGTGCTGCACAAACATTAATCCTTTCCTGCCCGCCCTTAATAGTCTCTCCCTTGTGCCCTCCCTCCCTCCCTCTCTCCCTCCCTCCCTTTGGAGGCTCCCATTCTCCCTTTCAACTCCTTGCAACCTTCCCCTTTTGCCACTCTTTTTCACCCCATCAAATAGGTCTAGGAAAGTGAGAAGGGGAATGCAGTGAGGTGAAAAACGTGGGCACTGCAACATCATCCCAGGAGGATAAAAGCTCAAAATGGGGGGGGGGGAAGGAGGGCACAGACAATAAGACTATAGAAGTGTGGCTTGTCTTAAAGATGAGCAAAGTGAAATATTGGATCTCCTTCTCCTCCCGCCATAACCTATAATATATACAGTAGTGCATTCTCGAAGCCCCTTGTTACCCTCAGTTCTTTGTTTTTGCATTATTTGTTCCGTTTTTTTTTCCCTAATTTATGTTTCCTTGACACTGATATTGACCCAATAAGTAAAATGCAGAAATTACAATGGAAGAAACATGTAAGGTATTTCGCTCATGTAAATGAATGAATCTGAAAATATGTGGCTGTTAAATAAGAAGTAGAAAGCGCGGCAGCTTATTTCAAGCTTCCAGCACTATCTCTTTTACCTCTGTAAAATTGTGGTAAGTGGTGAACAGTAATGTCTATTAAGGAATCCAGGGAAGGATTCCGTTGATCCTTCTTGTTCCTTGGAGAATGTGGCTGTGGTGCTGGAATGTGCAATAAGGATAATGGATGTGTGTGTGTGTGTGTGTCTTTATGGCTGCAGTGTTTGAGTATGTGGTTGGAGGGTCCTTTTGGTGCCTGTTTCTTCTTCCCTCCCACAGGCAAGGGAGAATGTAACAGTTAGAAATCCAAATGTGTCAGGATGAAGCATCCTTGAGTGTTAACAACCATCTAGTTTGCTTCTGGAGGCTTCAAATGAGGTCAGCGAGCACCAGCAACTTCTCCATGTTTTCTTCAGGATGGTTGGCATTTGCCCCTCTTCCCACCATCATGTTGTCTGAGTCCAAAAATGTGTCTCAATCTCTCTATACTCTCTAATTAAGAAACAGTTGTGACCTTGTGGTACCATGTAGACACACGGTATCGTCTCTTTGCAAGGAATGGTAGGGTAAAGTTGGTTGATTCTTCTTTTTGGTATTCCATGCCTCCATGTAATTGCCATAGTATGATATAAAGTCTCCAGAGAAAGCAGTTGGAAGCCTTTGCTCCCTATATCCCCAAAGCAGAAGTAATCTTTTAAGTGAGTCTAAATCTGTTGGATTTGGGAATCTGCATAAACTCCCAGGTTTATTTTTTGAGATATAAAGGCAGTGCCGAAAAGAGGTAGAATGTGTTTGGGAATAGAGATGATTTTATATGGCTATTTGCTTTTCTTACTAATCTCTGGGAACTGCTGGGAATGTCACAATACAAGGAGCTGCTGTTGTGCTGCTCTATGGGATTATTTATTGAGGAATCTGGCAGGTGGCACATGTAGGGGGTTGCCTCTCTTGTTACATTTCCATGTGAACTGTCAATTCTCTTTGCTGCAAAAGGAGGGGGAAGCTCTCTTTATTGATTTTTTTTTTCATCAGTGTAATCATGGTTGCTTCTGATGAAGAAAAAACTTGCTATATTTTAGGATATGGAGTCAGCTGCATTCCATGCACACTGTATTTTAGAGTAAACTAATAGTGTAAAATTGTGTCTGCCTGTCCAGATACGTGTATTTTTTTTTAAACACAGCAGTTCAGTGATTGTGCCAGGAAGGAAAAAAATGCACCACTGCAGGCAGCATCAGGTAAAAGAAAAATGCCATGCAAGAGGTAGCTTTTTGCTGTTGCTGTTATGAAGGTAATCATGCTGGTCTTTTCCAGTCAGATAAAGCACAATCTATTTCTTTTTACATCACGTACCTGGTATTTGCCCTATATTGTAAAAAGTGGGGTGTGGGGTTAAGTATGTTATTCTTAATAGTTATATGGTTTAAACACATATTGATTTCTTATTTATGTTAATAACTCTACATGGGTTTATTTTGGCCATTAGTCATTAATATTATTATATAATATTAATAAACTTGCTTGGAAAAACTTAGTTCATCCAATTTAATCTTTTCTCAACTTTTGTCTCTTTTAATGCACATAGACATTCCCTACCCACACTCCTTATCTAATTTGTAGATAAATCAAAGAAAATACAATAATAAATTGAAAATCAAGATTTTCAGTCAATACTTAGAAAAAACTTCACTTTTTATTGTGGACAATACAAATCTTTTGAAATGTAAAACATCTGGTACCTAATTCCTTATATGGTATACTTGTATTAATTGCAATGGAGTTGTTAATCAAATCTTAATTTGATTTAAGAAAATAAGGAAAGAAAAATGGACAGATGAAATCTATTTTTATCTAAATTGAGACTTGATAATAAATATAATTTGTACAGGAATATGGTTTTGTTGTAATAACCTGTCTTAACCAGAAGGCCAACTGCAAAAATCCAGAATATTTTAAGGAGATAATAGATCATCAGGTTGTATGGAGATTGACTCTGCCTTTTAAGAAGTAAGCAATCTTTGTACAAAATAAGTATAGAAAGGTATTACTGAGAAGTGAAAAGATAAATTCAAGATTTTACTTCATGAGGCTAGACATTCTTTTCTCCTAGATTTAAATATAAATTCAAGTTATCTTGCTACTGAATATAGTAAAAGTGCTCCCAGTTAATATTAATAGCCTAACCTACAAATCTTATATAAACCATTACATAGCTATATATTTATTCATTAACATTCTTCATTATATTACATTTATCTGGAAATTTTTAGAAGCTAAACATGTGGAATTGCTTAACATTTTATCAGTCCTACAAAAACCAGTTAAAAGCGTGGGTTAAAACTAATCATAAATAAAATAATATATATTCAAAACGTGTGTTGCATACATGGTATGAAGATTGTAGCAATAAACATTTTTCTGTAGTTCAAGTATATAGAGGTGTAAGAATTGGCCCAGAACTGTAGCTGCTATAGCCCCCTGCTGTGAGATAATGCAAATAGCATCCAGTGATTTAAGCTGCTATACCTTTCTGAAAATAGAAAATACTGTATTATTTTTTTTAAAAAAATAGTTAATTGGAATTTCAGTAACACAGAATAAATACTTTAAAGATCAATTATAGTCTTACTGAAATAAAAATCTCATCAAAAGATTGCTAATCTATAAGAAAAGTATATTCTGATACAATTAATATCAGTAAATGATTGTCAGTAGATGACTAACTAATATTTTATTACTCTTTCAGAACATGTGCTCACAAGTCTATACATTAGAATGTTGGGTATTTTTAGCTGGTAAAAGATAAGACAACAATTTTGATTAAATGTATGCTAGAAATAATGTTGTGGTACAAAACTACAAAATGATATGTACTCAATAGTACTCATGTACTATTTATAATATCTCTCAATACTTACATGAGACCGATCAAGTTAAGAAGACTTTCCCAAACTTTATGCACCCATACACTTAAGATGACAAACTTAAACACCAGGCTGTTCTGATTTCAGGACATAAGATGTATCTGCTTAGCAAGAAGTGTGATTATATTTTATAATTTTCTAATGTATAATTTGAATATAACTAGTGGCTTAAAATTATTTAAAATGTCACATTTGTGTATTTATGCATTCCATGTATTAAAAATACTATATTCCAGATAAATATTAATTCTTCTATTTATTAACAAACTTAAACACCAATATTTTTTTAAAGTCAGGCATTAGCTTCAGAACATGACAAAAATGATCATATTTTGTGAAATACATATGCAGGAGGATAAAAAAAACATGTATACTAATACATTGAAACAAATATCTTAGAAATAAGCCTAACCAATGTAGATGATAATTTCAGTAGTGTAAATAGCAGAGATTTGGTGAATCAATGTATATATTTCATACAGTACAATGGTACTAATAAAATAATATAAACTATTATTGTTGCCATATGTGTATAAGAAGCATAATGTAGAATTACTTATTGTGAAATATACATGAGTATTTATTTATTTATTTATTTATAAAATTTGTATCCCATCCTATATCCGAGGACTCAGGGCGGTTCACAACGACAATCGACCAAGTGACTGTTAAAAACAACAAATATACACAAAAGAATAAAAAAGTTTTTTAAAAAAATTAAAATATACTACCCCATCAGTCCAGACCGGGATTTAAAAATCTCTCTTTTGTGGTTTGGGTGTTTTTCTTTCTATCATGTTGTTTTTCTTTCTATTTAATGTTAATCATATATATATATATATATATATATATATATATATATATATATATACACACACACACACATACACACACACACACACACGTGTAACACATACATGCACACACTGAAATACAATTAAAATATTTCTTTTTGCTTTAAATAGAAAAGAAGGGAATACAACATATCAACAAAAGTAGCTTGAAGTTAGACTGTTTGATATTTGTTTACTTAAACCTTTTTTTTTATCAGCATGGACCAGTTAGTATATTTTTCTACTTTCAGTCTTAATTAAATGTCCTCATGAAATAATTTCTAGTCATGAATTTTAAT